GGAATCATCTTTATCATCTTCTATAAAGTTAATTTCACTCTGAGACTACTTGAAAGATAGAATTCTTTTCATAGGAGCACAAGGTAGATTCATGTATAAAAATATTTAAATTATTTTAATTCCAAGGATTCAGGTATAAATGTCAAATGTAAGTTTAACATCCACATGTAACAATATAAAATCTAAATAGATTTGGAACTGGTGTGGCTGATGCTTTAGGCGATCACCAAATGTAAAACTGAAAGATTCACTGATTGAAAATCATTTATATTCAACTGTGCAATGTGGCTGCAGGGTTTACTCCATTAAAAAGACGTGCTAAGCTTCTCAGGGCTTCAGAAAGAATAGAACTGTGTATTGAATTCAGGATTCACAAGATACCAGTGAAGAGTTCGAAGTCACAAATCTAAATTTTGAACTTGATCAACTATATTGTGTTGTAGATCCTTTGATCCTTGTTACCTCTCCTGATAGAAAGAAGTTTAAAAGACAAGGACAAAATCCATCTCTGTGTGTGTCAGCACCTACCGTGGAGCTTTAGACCTGCTCCAGACTCAGTGAATGTTTATGGAAGAAATCAATGAGCAAGCAATAGAGAGATTTCAGTGGGCACATGGGATTTTGCTCTGGCTGCCTGTCCCATTCACCAGGTGTTATTTATATGTCACAAATTGTGTGTGTGTGTGCACAGTCTGAGTATCTGTTATATTTCTGATCACTCTCCCTCCTAGAGCAGAAGCTCTTAGTGGCATAATCGTTGTGATAAATAAAATAAATAGCACCTTAAAGGTGTCCGTGCTCTAATTCCTGCTACCTATGAGTATTACCTTACAAGGCAAAAGGGACTTTGCTGATCTGATTAAGTTAAGGGTCCTGCTGGAGGAGATTACTCTAGATTGTTTGGGTGGATCTAGTGAAATCACAAGGGCCCTAAAATTAAAAGAGGAAGACGGAAGAAGAAGAGGAAGCAATACCTTGGCAGACCCCAACTTGCTCAGGTGGGTTTTAAAGATGGAGAAGGAGCCACATCTAAGTGGTATGAACAGCCTGCAGAGGCTGAGCCGAGTAAGAACGTGGATTCTCCCTGAAAGCCCCCAGAAAGGAATTCAGGCCTGCTGGCAACCTGACGTTAGCCCAGCAAGACCCAGGTGTGGTTGGCAGAACTATAAAATCATAGATGTGTTGTTTTAAGCCCCTAAGTTTGTGGCATATTGTCACAACAGCCACAGGGAACTAATGTGGTCTGTGACACTTGTTTGTCTCCTGCAGCGCCAAAGGCGTGTGTTGCAGGGAGAGAGACTCAGACGTCTCCCCCAGTTCATCTGTCTCCCCTCTTCCCCTCTGTCCCCTCATTGTTTGCTACTCCACTTCTTGGTGGAATAAGACAGAAGTTGTCAGCATTCCTCTGTTTGCAAAAGACAGAAACCTAACACAAACCACCTTGAGAAGAAGAATAAGGAGGGGGCACCTCTCACATGAGGGGGCCCCCAAGGCCTGGATTGGCTTTATTTCCAGCTGAAATGAAGGCACGCATCAGCCCCCAGGACGCTCTGTCTCTCTGCTTTGCATCCTCTCTATACACAGGCTTCTCGATTTCCATCATTTGCATGGGTTTTTTTCATAGCAAAACTGCTGCCCTCTTCTCTTCAGGGAAGGATTCTGATTTGCCTCCCTTTGCGGCCAATGAGATTGAGAGGGTGCTTCACCCATTGCTACATTAAAAAGACACCCAACACTTACTGGCTGAAGATGTAAATCATTTTACAAGCATGTCAGGGTCAGCCCTTCTTGGCTGCATGTGTGTGAAACCAGCCTGAGGGGGGCTGAGGATTCATCCCCAGGAAGAGGACTTGCTCCGCCCATGCCAGTCGGGGCTGGCTGGAAGTTCACCTGGTTTTGTTGGCTGGAAGACTCAGTTCTCCTTCATGGGACCTCCCTGCATGGCTACGCTGGGCTTCTCCTGGTCTCCCAATCTTAGAGGAGCTGGAATTTACACACAGTAGACTTCCGCCCATGCACAAAGTGGAAGCTTCCAGGAGGTGTCGCCCAAACTGACACAGGTCACCTGTGGACCACATTCTGCTGACTAAAGCACATCCCAGGGCCCTGCTCAGATTTAAGGAGAGGAGACTATATACTCAAGGTCATGTGTGAATACCATTGTCATAGTCCACAAGGGCCACTTGGCTACCAAAGTGGATACTGAATCTTTAGTGACTAATGGTCCAAACAGGATTGTGGGAGAATGGTGGGGCAGTCCCACAAAGGAAACAGGGCTGAAAACAAACCTCCAGTAACCATGGCAACCATTTTCTAGAGCGCTAGCAATTATGCAGTAAAGCAAAGCTGAGTTTCCCTTTAAGGTTATTTACTATACAGTTTTTACATTTTTCTGGAGTTGGGGAAGTAATTAAAAACTTAGGTTTAAAGCTAAGAAGTCTCAAATATTTTTCCCATTCAAACTTATAAATGAAATGATAAAATATAGCAAACAGTGCTACAAAGAAATAATTGTGCAGGATTTATAATGAATAAAGTTTAATCCAGGGGTGATTACTTGCCATAACCTTTTTAATGTGGCAATTCCTTGGGTATGGTGAAATATTTTCAGCCTACATCTGCATTTTATGTTTTTTATTTTATAGTTTATATTTATTCTCAACAGTACAGATCCCACAGTATCTGATTAATTGGGTTGATTTATGGTAATTGGCTTCAAATTAGAATATTTGAAACATATTCAATTAATTTTATCTGGTTAGTGAAGTACAATAAGGATTTTAGTGTTAGAAAGTTTTGTTTATAATATTAGCTGTGCGTATGTTTAAGGATACGGTGGACTCAAATTACTCTTCTTTGAATTTTATATTCAGAGAATGAATACACAGTATTGGGGATTAGGCAGTATTTAGGAAATGTATGTAAAAAGATTATTTAGCATGGAATCACAGAAGATTCTGGAATATTTAGCACACACACATCAATTACTTAGAGACCAGTCATCCATCCAGAGTTCTTTAAAATCGCTTCAAAAAAACACTTTGGTGAAGTATTCTCTTTTTTTTTTCTTTTCTTTTTTAACTTTTTTTTTATGAAATCATAGCAGTGTATATTGATACTATCATGGGGTACAATGTACTGTTTCTATATACAATATGAAATACTTTCATCCAACTGGTTAACATAGCCTTCATGTCTTTTTCTTAGTTATGGTGTTAAGACATTTATATTCTACAATTAGATTCACATATACCCTTATAGGATGAACCATAGGCGTGATCCCAGCAATCACCCTACCCCCTCCCCTCCCCTTCCTCTCCCCTCTCCCCATGTTCCTGGGCTAAAATTGGGTTGTAGCTTTTCTATGAAAGCTATAAATTAGTTCCATAGTAGGGATGAGTACATTGGATGCTTTTTCTTACATTTTTGGGATACTTTGCTAAGAAGAATATTTTCCAGCTCCACCCATGTAAACATGAAGTATTCTCTTTATACTAAGTTTTTTCAAGCCCATGTACAAACAAGATAGAGATCCATACAAAATGGATTAACACTGATTCTTTTAAAATGAAATTAAATATTTGAAAACATTCAAGTGGTGATTGGGTGATCTTTCTTAGCTCAAGCTCACTTTGGTAGTTTATTTATCTTAAATATTATTTTTGTCTTTCAAAGGTGAATGTAAGAGATTTATTAAAAACCTTGGATCGCTTGAGAGTACTTTAGAACTTTGCCTTAAAATCTTCACATAGGCAAAACTGCTGATATTGTGAGTTGGGATTTCCAGGGTAAGAGGATTTCAAATCACTGCTGAAAAAAGGGCTTGTTACAGGTTCCTGGCATCAGGTATCAGAAAGGGCCAGCTACGGACACAATCTTGGGAACTAAAATGGGGCAAGGCCAAAGACTTGGTTGAAATGAAAGAGACCAATTTAGACCTAGTGGGAGGAATTACAATCCCTTAAAATGGGCCTTGTATTCTAGAGAGGTATCATATAGAGCTCCGAAAGCAGATAGGATCAATGGCGTCTACATGGTTATGGATCTCGTGGTATATGGAGATGTGGATTATTTTGGAAAAATTTCCATTCTTTAGAGAAGTTTGAGACACAGTGTTGTAAAGAACAGGTGTTTTCATGTTTGCAGATACGGAGTTAGAGGCCCCACCTATCTACTTACAAGTCATATGACTTTGAAACCTTCATAATAACCTTCTTCTTTTTTTTTCTCACGATAACCTTTTTTGAGGTCTCAGTTTTGTTCTCTCTTGGGGTTGTTCTCAAGGTCCAATGAGAGAATGCCAAAATACCTCCCAAAGCTTCATGTTATTAAGTTTTATAATTATTACTGCTGCTAACAAAACTAAACATGATCGGCGAACTCGTTTATAAAGGATAGATTGAAAACATCTGAGTTGGAGCTGTCTTATTTTTTGAAAAGTATTCACTTCAAAAGTACCATGTTTCCCTGAAAATAAGACCTACCCCCAAAATAAGCCCTAGCAGGATTTCTATGCATTTGTTAAATATAAGCCCTACTCCATAGTAAGACCTAGTGATGGGCGTGGCTATCCAGTGTATGCATTTCGGAACGGAGAGGAAGACATCCCCTGAAAATAAGCCCTAATGTGTCTTCTTGAGAAAAAGTAAACATAGGATGGTATCTTGTTTTGGGGGAAACGCAGTATGATATAGAGAGTCTATGCACCCTAATCAATGTATTTTCCTCCACTATTTTTCAAGTACTAACCCATTTTTTATTGACTTTCAGTAGACACAAAATCTGGACAGGTGACTGCATACTTTTTCCTTAATAGTTGAGGATTAGGTGTATATTGTTCACTGCAACCCAGAAGGGTGATGGCTATTTATACAGAGAAATTTGCCTCCTAGAAGGGTTTGTTGTGTCTCCAGTGGTAGGACGTTGGGCCGTGGTGTGGGTTATGTGAGGCCAGTGGGACATTCTTGTTAATGGTTTGTTTCTCTGTGTTTCTCCCCCAGCTATCGGCAGGACCCTCATCCCCCGATACTTTAGCACTGTGTTTGAAGGCGGGGTGACTGACCTGTATTACATTCTCAAACACTCGAAAGAGTCATACCACAACTCCTCCATCACCGTGGACTGCGACCAGTGCACAATGGTCACTCAACACGGGAAGCCCATGTTCACCAAGGTAGGGACAGTTTCTGCCACCCTCCTGGCTTTTCCTACTCTGGGTGAATTAAAGGAATAATAATCACAGCTTTCCCCTGGGACTCTGAGCTAATTGCTCATCTCTCAGATGCTTTCCTACCATGAGAGAATCTTTTTGGTCTGTGCCATGGCATGACCTTTTGGGTGAACACTGTTTTAGATGTGTGTGCGTGTGACACTGGGCACATGGAAATCTAAGATGACAGAACCTCAAAAGCAAGGGGCAGAGAGATCCTTTAAATTTCAGTTGCTGGATTAGAATTTGTGTTTTTATACAAAGAGTCTGCTTCAGCGGAAAGAACATTCCCCCGTGGTTGTGTGGTCTGTGTACTGTATTTGTGCTTTGTTACTAAAAAAAAAATATTTTATAGCTAAATTGAGATTTGAACAAATAAGGAGAAAATCCACTAACCACAATCCAGCTGTAATCTGTAAGGACCAGAAAAACATAAAAATATCAATGAAGTTAGAGACTGAAGAATTCAAAGGTTGCTTCCCCAAATTCTAAGAAGCTCTGTGACTGGTCAGTGAGTCAAACAAGTAGCTTGCCCCCCCCCCAAAAATGCGGTTGAGCCCTAAATTGGTTACGAAACACTGAATGAGAATAGCAGAGAGAAAGGCAGGTCTTGCGATCAGATACCACAATGTTCGCAGCGGAGTTCAAGGCCTACAAAGGCTGTTAAGTAAAAAGTAGAAGAGATAGAGACTCAGCCTCACCTTCCATACATTTTATGCCTCTAATCCTTCCCATACACAGAAAATAGACCCGTGGAATCCTCCCTCTGCCCAAGACCTTTCTGGAGTACCATAGATATGTTTTCTGGCAGGTAGGAAACTTAGTCAAGGACAAATACTTAGTCACAGAATCTGGCAAACGGAAGTTTATTTTAATGAACATTCGTTCATTGTGTTCTTGTGAACTTGATTTGTGGACATCAATGACAGCAGCTCAAAATACAAATGACAGCCCTCTCTTTATAGTTATAAGAAGTTGGATTATCAGGGTTAATTGCAGAAGCCCAATTTAGAAGGCTGAAGATGTGTCTGTTACTTATTAGTTTCTTATTTATCCATTGACCTTGCTGTGGTTTCATCTTCCCAGCATCTTGCTGGGATGGGAAACCAAAGGCAAAATGCAGAAGCCAAATCGTCGAATGCCAGTGAGTCTATGGCACCTGGATTTTGTCAGTAGGCGTTTTAAATGTGGGGCACAGGGTAGGATTTTTCTCTTTCTTTTCTGTTTTAACAGTTGGGCAGAGAGGAAGGTAGTCATTGGAGAACAAAGAAGCTTCACGCAGACCGTAGACATCTCTGCTCTTAGGAGACTTCCAATATGGAACAGAATGATCACCGGAGTGATGGTTTAATCTGCCCGTGTCTCCCTTCATTCTGGAAATGCAGAGATTTGCATAATCTTGTAGATTAGATGGATACACCGGCATTCATTTCTAGTATTATAAAATCTGAGCACTGCAGGGAAAGCCTTTCTCTGCTGCTTTATTATTGTTTTTTTTTTCTTTCTCTCTAGGCTTAATGTTACTTTTAGGTAATTCAAGAAAAATATACCAAGTCCTTTTGCTTTAAGGGGGAAAAAAATCTATGATAATTAAATAAAGAGCTTTGCCATAATTAAAGAGCTACTTCCAAATCCTGTAGCCACTGAAAATTAAAAAATGCATTTTGTGGCAGCCCTTTTATATATGCGCTTAGTTTCTTTCTTTCTCAGGCCAGAACTTTTTTGCAAATGATCATAGTTGCTGTGCTCTGCAGGGTTAGTGCTGGACAGTCACAACCTATTTTAGATCAGAAAGAATCCCCTGTCTCTGACGAATTGCAGAAGTGTCATTTTCCTTTGAATCAAGGAACTAAGGTTTCCCTGTGTTGCATTCTTCCTGACCCTGGCCTGCCCGCCTCTCACATGTGTTATGTTCAGGCTTCCAAAGCGGTAGCCAGGAACACCTGAGCTCTCTCCTGGACACAGCTCCCTGAACCCCAGCATTGCTTCCTTGGACTCCCCACCTTATTCCACTCCATGGTCGTGTATCTGCCAACTCCTGGAATGAAGATTTCCGTGCTGTGATCGGAAAATATCACTTTCTGGGAAATGGAACTTGGGGATGTGGCCCTAGTCCAGATGCTAATTAAGCACATTTATTTTTAGGAAAATTTGAAAGGATTCATTTTTCTTTCTTTTTTTAAAATAAAAATCCTTGGTGATTGTTATATCACCCAAAGAATCTTTCTAATGTTTTCTTTTGTTCTTATATTAATTAAAAATAACTCATCTTCATAAAATAAAATACTGTGATTAGTTACTATGATCATCCCTTTCAGTGGCACAAAGAGAGCGTTCGGAAGCCAGTGCTTATTTTTAAAGGGGGGACCTGCTCTTAGTACATTAATTGCTTAGCATGTCATGTGGAGGCAGCATTCCATGGTTCCAATTTAGACTATCAATACACTCTCGTTCCCCAAATAGCATTTGACCCACTGGTTCTGAGTTGCTTTTATGAAAATTTGGTCAACTGGTGAATCAAACATCAGCTGTAATCCTAATCAACCGAAACATGAAATAGTCCCCAGGAGGACAGTGAGCATTTTGCAATTTCCTGATACCAGGAACATTCTAGATAATGGATAAATATGGAATTAGAATTTTAAAGTGCATATTAAGAGCCTTTCTTTTAAGTTTTCCGTTTTTGATTCCAGTAGGACACAAGCGTTGGTAATTAGAAGAGCATGCATCCAGGTTTGCCGAACCAAAGACCCCCCGAGTTATACTGCTATTGGAGGGTGGGAACATTGGTAGACACTGAGAAAAACGCTCTTGAGGGTACATTTCGGGGTTTATTTTTAGGTTTTACAAACTGGAATAGTAGTTACAGCCATTATTGGACACCTTCACCACCTCTGTAAATGCAGGTTTATATTTTCTCTGTTCTCATTTATTATGAAATTATTTCCTACTGCAGACAAGTGCCAGGCAAGCCTACCAACCAGTTTTCCTGTATGAATAACCACTGTGTCTCTTGACAGTTCCCTCTTTTACCTTAGCCTGTCTGCTAGATCATGCTCCAGAATTTCTACTATTCTCTAAACTCCAACCAAAATATAATATTAATGATCACATTGTTCTTATTTAGATATATGTATGCATTTACATAAGAAGGATCTGTAAGCAAAATACAATGAGCTTTATGCAACCGTTAATCTAACAGGACTATCCCGTGCTTGCGGCTCCAAGCAGAAAGACTAAGAAAAAGAAATAAACACCCCCACCTGAATAAAAGGACACTTTAGTTCATGAAAGCTCTGTGAGAACCACTGGATTGTATGGCTACGTTCATGGTCAGCACTGCTTTAGAATTACTCAAAGAAATAAAAGGGTTAAGAAGCTACCGGTTAGTTTGAGAAATGTTCTTTTTTAGGTCTCTTATTCCTGGCCGAGTCTCCAGCTGGCACGTGATCAGCTGAATGCCTGCCAGCCTCTCTCTTGTTGATCCTCCGGAGACCATCTGTGCTGGGGGCATTGATTAGAGTGTGTCTGCTGGGATTACATCTTTTCTGTTGCCATGCCAACTAATCAGCTGATTTTGGTTACCACAGAAACAAAATGTCAGAGCTCACAGTACGGTAACATGAATTCAGCACAACAGAAAATGTTTTCTTAATTGGGGACCCTTTTGATTTTGGATTCCAAGTGAAAGGCAGCTTAAAAAAAAAAAAGGCCGACTTTAGATAAAAGCTACATTAACTATATTGATTAAGAGGAATGCACAGAATTTTTCTGAAGAGAGAAGACATTAATTCTCCTTTTATAGGTTATGCCCATTCTTTACCATTTCCAAACAAGAAATATATATCTTTTTTCTATTCCCCTCTATTCCAAATTTGTGGGTGGTTGCATATAAAACAAACCACAAAGCCTTCGGTTTCCTTCAACTTTTATGGCTGGAGCAGGAGTATAGGGTCTGCCCAGGGCCTGGGATGAAGCTGGGGATGTAATTTCCTGGAGTAGATCATCAGTGACCACAGCTCTCTTCCTTTCATTCAAGGAAGTCATTTATTTTTCTTTCAAGAAACACCTAACACAGTCAACTGGGATTCAGTTCTAAAGAGTCCCATCTTGCACATGGCATACCCTGGATGAAGCCGATTCCTTGGTTTGGACTGAAAAAGAAGGAGCCCAAGGCTTGTTGCAGTTTTCCATTTTGTAGGCCCATGACAGTTTGACTGTTAGAAAGGTCTCCAACTAGTTTGCTATGTTATTGTGAACAAAGAACGCAATTTAATTTCACCTTACCAATGCTCCGATTGCGTAATCCATCAGAGGACGCCACACAACCCTTCCCATGATAAAATTCTGCTCCCGGAGAAGTAAACCAGAACCTCCACCTGCCCTTGGCTTGTGGTTCATAAATACAAAACCAATCGGTTAGATAATAAAAAATGCTGACATTTAACTGAGCTAATATTTAAATATCTAGGAGTACCCCCTCTTTTAAAAAACCGGATTATAGCAGCCACATATCTGTCCTGTCTTGTCGAGACATTTTATCATTTTCGGCTGCCTACAGCTATCTCCCTTTTATGAAAGCTGTCACTGCTGGTGGCTTCTGTCAGACCAATGGCCCAGGGGGAACTGGGTAGCTTAATCGCCATGCAAGTCTTTTGAAAATCTTGCTAAATTAATTCCAGCACTGATGATGCTTTGGAGAGTGGTGTGGGGACTCTGAAATCTTCCCCCATTTTAGTGTACTCAGCTCTCATGGCTAAGATGCCAGAAACAAGGCTCTGAAGACCACTCGACCAAAGGGTTTTGAGGCAAGGTGCCCAGATGCCCAGAATTACCCACAGATTCTGCTAATTGGATCTGAGATAGAGGGCTTTACCTAGGTTATCGATAATTATCTGGATTGGCACCCTTCTTGAGTCGTGTCCTGTCGCCATTTGTTATAATCCCCCTGTACTGACGTTTAGCTTATTTAAAGAAAATATTGCCTTCCATAACAGAGTGTAGAAAGCGCCTAAGCCAGAGCTAAGGACCTAATCGCAACTCAAAAATGGTGGTGTTTTGTATTAAATTCCCGAAGAGGAAAGCAACTATTCACGTTTCATAATAGGATGATAGAAACTGTTCACCATCTTCATGGATTATAGTTTGGGAAATATATTCCCCACTCAGTTCATTTTTAATGATTCATTTGTTTTTAAATGTGTCTTTTCAAGTTTTATGTTTGTTTTTAGCCTAAGAACTCTTTCTCCAAAAAAAAAAAAAAAGGTTGATCAAAAACCCAGTTTATTAAAACAGATACAATCAAAGCTGCTCTGGTGAAATCTAGCAAATATTTGCAGAGACCTCTAAGTTGAGATGGAGGTACAGCTCAGCGCCTCCCTGCAGAGCCCCTGAAATGCCCCCAGGGAGCCCCTTGATCTTAGATGGTGCATCACGGCCACCACTGGTTGAGGGCTTTGTGTTCTTTTTGGCTGTATTTCTTCAAGGGTAGAGGTATCATTTACTGCCTTCCCGCCATGTCCCAGGTACAATGCCAGGCAATCCACATACATAATTTCACTTAATGTATTTTCTCAAATGAGAAAACTGGAGTTGAGGAAATTTGATTTTCCCAAGGTTCTGGAATGAGTAAAAAGTAGGGTCAGGATTCAGATCCAGTCCCGTGTGATGCCAGCGCCTCCCTCCCCGCGTTGTACGTTGCTTCCCTAAGGGAACTGGATTCATTGGCAAGTTGTCACTAATTCAACCAAAATGCCACTGCCACTTCCTGTCGCCCTGCTGACAGGGACTCAGTGGCTTGTGATTGCATTTCCTTTCAGTGTGACCTGGCTATTTGTACCCTCAATGATTCCCCAACAATCAGTCAATCAAATAAAGTCATTAATAGCAAAAAGAACAGTAAATAAAATAGGAACTACATGCAAAAAATGATTTGACTATCAAAAGAAGATAAAAATCCTACCCTGTTCCTGATTACTCTGTCAAGAAAGAAAACCTCTGGAAGTCTATTATATTTCATTAATAACATATATTTTTCTTAGAAAGATAGACTGTCCCTCCCCCCAAGACTATCCTTTTATATCAGCAAAATTTGTCTTTGCTGATGTGATGAGATTCAAGAAATATATTGTGTAAACATGGCCCTATTTTCTGCATGTCAGTCCCCAGTTTCCACTGTCTTGAGTTAAGCATTGGCCTCCAGAATCTCTCCTTGGAAATGAAAGCTTCTGGTTGGGTAATGTTGTAGCATCTCACACTTCAGCATGGATGATTTTATTGAATGCCTTCTCCCAGAATAGGATAACTAAAATTAGGACAAGAACTCAAGCTTCTACGGCAGAAGATTAATGAAAGTGGCGGGATAGCTGGGAGGGAGAGAATGCCCATGATTCTGATCCAATGTCCCTCTAAGCTGGGTTTCTCCCCATAATTACAGATGAAGAAATGGAGGTTTCTAGAGTTTCATTAATAACTAGTATAATTACTAGTACCTCACAGCTAGTAAGCAGCTGTGCAGTCTTTTGAACCTGCTGATTCTAGAGCTGACACCTGTCTCCATAGGCCATTAGATAGACCATCTGTGTCACATCTTTACTGAGGGCAAGTAAGGGACACAATCTGAGTGACCGATGTATGAGTTACAAAACGTGACGTTCACAAAGAGCATGACAAATGAGTGTGTTGTCTGTCACTTCCAGGTGTGTACAGAAGGCAGACTGATCTTGGAGTTCACCTTTGACGATCTCATGAGAATAAAAACATGGCACTTTACCATTAGACAATACCGGGAGTTGGTCCCCAGAAGCATTCTAGCCATGCATGTAAGTAATTTAATTGTTTTACTTTCTTTTCCTTTTTTTCCCCTCCTTCATTTTACTCAAGAGAAAAACCCAGCCCTCTCTCTGTAAGAGAACCCCAGTAACCACCATATTTCAGGTAATTAACTCTAAATATTGAGTTTTATGCTCAATCATCTTAATCCGCTGCCCCCACCTCTACCTTTGGCTTCTGAGTCTGGCACGTCACATCGTGGGGCTATTTTTGATACTTTGTTATTCTGAACTGCAAATGCAGGTTACCTCAATAAACAGTTTGTACTTTTCTTAAATTCCATCCTGTGGTTATCAAGAATTGCTCTTCCTGGGCTAGCAAATTTGTTATGTATAACTGGGGAAAGAAATAAAACAAGAGGGAAAAGAGTTTCCTGTTGTGATTAGAACCAGCTGACCAGATGTGGGACTCCCGGGGCTTCAGGTCCACATCAGCAGAAGCTGGTCCTTCCTCACCACGGGGCTGGATCTGAAGTGGTCTGTTTGGGGTTGCCTCAGTTTCATTTGACCATAAATCACATCAAGTGTATTAAGCATTCATTAAGTGCAAAGGTAAGTTCAATGCCAATCCAGAGCTGTATTTTAAACATAAGTAGGAATAAGTCGAG